GTTTGTTTACCTTGTCTCCATAGCAACCATCCTTAAACTTGTTTGGCTGTAAACCCGCAATGTGTAGTCGATTGTAGATTTGTAGGCAGGTGAGTTCTAGTTCATTAATGATAAACTGTTATAGGACATAGGTTGTTACAAATATGATGCTCTTATTGTTTTAATTTGGAGTAATAATTGTTGATAGTATTATCAGTCACAAAAACTCAGTTTTTTGTATCCATGACACTTATTAGACATTTAGAAGTCTGTATTCAGACAGACTATGTTTCACACTTTTATTTTGTTAGACAAATGAAAATCATATAAATTTCTTAGATTCGACTAGAGAGGCATTCTGAGGCAACTTTAGAAGAAATCCCTCTACTCAAAAGATGCAAGTCTTTATTTAAGTTATGCCATGGATGGTAATTGGTAGTCCAATCATCACAAGTGCTTATTATATGAACCTGTTGCATTTGAGTGATCACACTGATCAGTGATGTGAGTTACTTTAATTTATTAATCTTTGAACTAGGCAAGAAATGCATTGTAGGTTTGTAGCAGAGAAAAGTTTGATTACTAAGCAAATATCTTTTTGAATGCTAATTAAAATTATCAAATTTCCTTCTGTTCTCAATGTATCCAAAAAATGCAAATTGTAAGGAATCTTCTGTGATATCTGGTTTAGCTATTATCAACAAACATGACAACAAGAGAGGGGCTGGGTAAATGGAGACAGTCCTCCAATATTTCATAGAAATGTTGTAGCAACTAAACTAATTGGAATATTGCAAAACTAAAAATAGTGGCATAAAGTTTGACATTTTTCCTATCTATGTATCATAAAGCAAATTAAGAAATCATACATGTACTACCTCTAAAAAATCCCTGAATTAGGCTGAATAAAAAATGTGAATGTGAGATTTTGAAAGTATACCTCTATCAAGGTCTGCAGCAAATAAAATATTTGCCGTATTATATGTTTTTACTTAAATAAAAGACTTAAAAGTTGAACATAGGAGTTGGCTTAAAAATGTGATTGATAGAATTTGCATAGCTCATTCCAAAAAAAATGGTAGCCATTTCTGTACAATGGGGCAATAAGGGACAACCCTAAAAATGCTTTTACAGTAGAACCTTGGTTAGAAAAGGCTCCAGTTGACAAAAAATCAATTGACAACAAAAAATTTTGATTTCATTTACCTGGCTCAAAAAAAATTAACTTAACAAAATTAATGCTTCATTGGTCATTACAAAATTGTGCATTGAATGTCATATATGGAATTGTGCACTGGCCAACATAGAATGAAAAGTAATTAACCTAAACTATGATTTATTTGAAAAAAATTATGGTTGTTACTCAAATATTCCTTTCTGTTTCACATAGGTATGTTTTTTTACTATCTTTTTAGGGCATTTTTGCATTTATGGAAAAAATGCACCATTGTGCTAGCCATGTCCTTCTGTTTGTCTGTCTGTCCGTCCATGACTTCACGTTTTCATTGATGAGAAAATGCGCTCTATGTCACTCTTTGGAGTGAATACCAAGTTAAATTTTTTTGTTATGGTGAATTCACTTGACTTAATGAAAATGATGCAAAATTACAAGCCATTCTGTAAGCTTATAGGTACAGAAGAACAGCTATATGGCTGCTTATATAAAGCTTGCAGCGGACAAGATCATTGTGAATGCTCAATGGCATGTCCATGGATACAGTACTAACATTACATTAATAATATGGTAATGTATGGATATGGTAATATCATCGATAAAGGAAAAATAAAACAAATGAACTTTTAAAAACCACGTTTTCTTAACGGAAAAACAAAACATTAACTCTTACATAACATTAAAGTTATGTAGAATGTTATGTAATGCTATATAAAAGTTAATGTTTTTCTTTTTGTCCATTAAGAAAATGTGGTTTTTAAAAGTTTTTTTATTTGTTTTATTTTATTGTTTTTAGTTTTGTAACCACCAGAAAAACATGGTTTTAAAAAGGTTTTTATATTTATTTATTTTCTACTTTTTAGTTTAAAAAATTTAGCAATTCAAATCATTTTCCAGGGTTGGCAACTCTGGATGTTCGACAAAAAAAAAAATACAATTCCCAACCGTGAATTTTTAGGTTTTTTTATTTTTTCCATTTTTTTAAAACTTATTACTTCTGATGACCAAATCTTAAATTGTTAGGCAGCATAAGCATGCATGCCAAATTTTAAGTTTCTAGGATCTTCAGAAGTGCTCTAAAATAAGGTTTGAATTTTTTATGACAGACAGACACAAAGGTGATTACAGACAGACACAAAATGAAGATAAGAAAAACGTGGTAACAAGTAAAAATCACAGAAAATGTCATTTATTCCACATCTACATCATCTACAAAGGAAGAGGAGGTCTTCAGAGTACTGTACACTCTTCATGCTTGTACAGTACTCTTCATGGACGAGTACCCTCTGCATGCTTCAAACATTTTAAAATTAAGGTTTATTTCAAGTTTACCAAGAGCTTATCACTCAGGCCACCAATTGTGCTGAACTGAAACCACTGCTAGTTTTTGATTCAGATCACCTTTCAATTATTGTTGTATGTGACATTTTGTGTTTTGTGTCTTGTTTTAGTAAATTGTTTAGAGTTTTCCATGTTTCATGCCTTTTTAAATGTTACCTACCTAGTACCATCAAACAGGTTAATAAGGGATGGTTTTGAGCGTTTTTTGTTAATAACTTCTTACCATGAAACATTTCATAAACGAGTTTGGGCTTATTTTAAAGGTCTTTGCGAGGGCTATTGTATGGCATCTCCAAAAATATTCCATATGCTATTTGTAAGGTGCTAGATGCAATATAAAAGGCTCCTGAATTAATCTAGAAAAAAGGTAATAAGCGACACTTGAAATAAAACACAATTTTAAAACGTTTGAAGCATGCAGAGTGTACTCATCTATTACTAACAGTACTCTGAAGTCCTCCTCTTCCTTTGTAGATGATATAAATGGAGAATAAATGACATTTCCTGTGATTTTACTTTATTGATTTTACTGTGATTTTTATCTTTATTGATATGATATTACCTTATCCATACATTATTGTAGGTATTATTAATGTGATATTACTGTATCCATGGACATGCCATTGAGCATTGACAATGACCTTGTCCACTGCAAGCTTCATATCAGCAGCCATGTAGCATTCTTCTAAATCTGTAAGCTTACAGGATGGCTTGTAACTTCACACAATTTTTATTGAGTCAAGTGATTTCACTATAACATAAATGATTGATAAAAAAAACATACCTGAAACAGAAAGGAATATTTTAGTGAGAACCATCATATTTTTTGGAGAAATAAATAATTGTTTAGGTTATTCACTTTTCATTCTTTGTTGCCCAGTGCTCAATTCTATCTATGACATTCTATGCACAATTTTGTGATGACTGATGCAGTAATTTTTTGTTAAGTGAAATTTTTTTTACTGAGCAAGGCAAATGTAATCAAAAATTTTTTGTTGTTAATTGATTTTTTCATTAACTGGAGCCTTTCCTAACCAAGGTTCTACGGTAAATGCAATTTTAGTGGTGTCCCTTATTACCCCGGGGGATGTCCCCTATTACACCGTTTTGCAAAAATGGCTGCCATTTTTTCTTGGAATGAGATATGCAAATTCTGTCAATCACGTTTTCAAGCCAACACCAGTATGCAACTTTTATGTAAGTAAAATTTTTCAATATGACAAATATTTTTTCTGCTGCAGACAGCAGAGGTAGTTTTCCAAAATTTCACTTTTCACACTTTGTTACAGGGATTTTTTAGAGGTAATAAATGTATGATATCTCAACTTGCTTTATGCTGCTTAGATAGTAAAAATGTTGAACTTTACGCCACTATTTTTAGTTTTGCAATATTTTGATTAGTTTAGCTGCTACAACATTTCTACAATATGTTGGACTGTCCCTTATTACCCTGCCTGTCCATTATTACCCCATTTGAAGGTACTCCTTCTGTCCTTCTGACCACATTCAGCATTTGTTTCCATGTCCAGCTACAGTCTTGATGATTTAAACTGCCAAAATAGTTTAAATTAATGTTAGACATAAAGTTTATGTAGGGCTAACATAAAATAGTTCTAAAAATTGGCAAAGCTCATTTCCCTAGCAATTATAACAAAAATTGCTAAAACAATGCCTGAGAATTTAGGTAGATAAAAATTTCAAAACTCTCTAAATGTTTTATGACATGAAAGAGATATCTGGCGGTAAATGTTTTGATTTCATGTCATTGTGATAGCTCCCAAATGACTTTAAGGCAAAGTTACAGGACCAAGTGACTTTTATAAAAAATTTTAATGTGTGGGCTCCTTCTACAACTCAAATAGGCATAGGTTGTTTTTAAAGGCCAGCACTACACTGGTAGCTTTTTATCAGTGAAAAACAAACAAGCAAAACTCTAAATATTTTAGAATAAACTTGCTGAATTTTCCCTATCCATTGACTATTGCCATGCACAATTTGTCCTATCCTTGTCCTTTGCCTTATATCTATAGGAAATGGAGGAGTTTCATTAAATTTCACTTGCATTATTTGTTTAAAAACCATCCATGAAACTATTGTTTTTCCTATTATTTCCTGGAAAATTTGATCAAAATTTTAATTAGTACCGTAAAATGGGGTAACTTAGACCACTTTTTTTTATAAATGATGCCATTTTTTTACTAGCTAAATTAAACTTTAACTTAAACTTAAACTAAACCCCCATTTGCAAACTATGATTAAAGGCCAGCACTACACTGGTAGCTTTTTATCAGTGAAAAATAAACAAGCAAAACTCTAAATATTTTAAAATAAACTTGCTGAATTTTTCCATTTTTCCAGTGATGTGCATTGCACATCACTGGTACAAAATCATTTACTACAATTTACAAATCATTGGCCAGAGGGTTGGGCTACAAGAGCAGGATATTTCTACCTAGACAACTTGCATGCTGCATAAGCTCCTCTAAAATTCTAGTTCTTTAGATAAAACTATACAGAAGTTTACAGTAAATTTATTCAAAATATTTCAAGTAGTCTCTAGTATTGAAGAACATTTGGTTGACATAACAAAAGTTTAAAAGAGTTAGTAGGATTCTAAAATAGTCTCAGAAATGTCCATTATATTGAGCAAATTGTGAAATGTAGTAAGGCTTATATATATGTAGCTTTTGGATAGAAGATTTTTCATGAAGAAGAAATTCTAATCTTCCTTGTTATTTCAGAAAACATCTTGAAGATGGAGCTGATTGAAAATTAATTCCAATTATACTTCAAGCAGTTCAAGGTAGTTAGTTATACAAGCTATTGAGGAAAGGTCTTCAAGAACTTAGGATTTGATTGCTATTAACATAACATAGTGATGTCGGCGTTGCAGTGTAGGCCTGATGTGGCCTGTTGCCGATGTGATAATGTCGCCTATTCCCTGGATGTGATAATCTCTAAATAATTTTCAATCTTAATGTCACTTGATATGAATGAGTTGATAAAATTAGCAGGGATCACTGAAAAATGATACTTGAGTCTTAAAATTAGCCTTTGGAAATACCTGCACTTGAAAGTCACTAGTGTGCCATCAATGGGACATGAGTCATAGATTATAGAATATAGATTACAGCAATATGTTATAAACATAAATGAATATATTCATAGTAAAAGTATCAATAGGGTTCAGTTGTGTTAGAGTTAAGACAAAAGAATTGTAAAGCTTCCTTATAGCTGCATCTTGGTGCAGTGGCAATTTATGTGTAGGTAATTAATTTTTTTGTGCAGCAAGAATATTGATAAAAAGTCATAAATATGAATTTGGAATGTCTTTTAAATATTAATTTACTAGTATTATATTATGATTAACATATTTAATTATAAATAACATAAACCCATGCTTGAAAAATTTCCATTACTATATTCACCTTAAAGGGAAATAATTGATTATCTTCCTAATTTCTCCTCATGTTGTAGTGCTTATTCTATCATTGTTATTTTCAAGAGTGCACCTAGAAATTTCTAGCCTTGCAACTTTTCCATGACCATCACTACAAAATTTCTAGCATTATTTTAGCAATTATTTTTTATCTAATATCATCTCAGTTGCGCCTTTGTACACAAAAACTTGAAAATTGTCCTTCTTTAGAATCATTCTTTTGCCATCATTGGTTATTTCGTTCATCATTGATTGATTATTATTTTGTTCTTACACACTGGAACTCTGTTCAAGTAACGAAAAAATTGTTACATGAATGTGTTCCCTACATCTAAAATTGTCAGTTTTTCTGATGTTTTCATTAAATTGTTGAGTCAGATTATACCAATAAGTATCTAGGATGGCCAGAACATTTGAAACTGTCCAACATAAAGAAACGGTTCACTTTGGCAATTTGAAATTGGTACTAACTGAATGAAGAATAATATTTGAATTGAATTAAGTTCCTTCCAGATTTTGCATATATCAAACAAGTATGATACTGTGAATTTTCCTCCCTGAATTTGTTGAACCTCAAAAAATGATTAAATTATTTGTAGGTAAACCTAAATTATTTAAGCATTGTAATTGACCTGAAAAATTGTTTCTCTTTTCCTGCCCAATCTATGCATTATTATAACATTTTTTTTCTTTTGAGAAGTATTTATATTTGATCAGATCAATTGAAATGGTTTTGGTGTTCCAGGTTTTAGATCATGGCTGATGATGACGACGACCACTCCAGGCCGACGTCTCACAGCAGCTCTGGTAGACGGCGTTGGGAAATGCACTCTAAGGAGTCTTTTGAGACAACCTTGGCCGTTGAAACCCCATCTCCAGCTCCGAGAAACATTAGGAATGTACTTAGTGCAAAGAACTCATCTAGTGAACTACCTCTAGCCGCTTATGGTAATAAAATGGTAGGAGCGGCTGATAACAAGTCACGTGTTAAGTCAGCCGCTCGCAAGAACAGCGCCCTGAGCCGTGAAACCAGCGCAGAAATACGACACGCGCAGAAAATGGCTGAAGGCAGACGAGCTCGTGGAGCTAGTGCTAATAATGACGCTAAGATTTTCAAAGAGAATAAATCTACCAAACCGGGTAAAGTGCCAGCACCCACAACAAGGAGCTCTTCAAGGAATTCTAAGCATTTGTCATCAGAAGATGTCTCCAGTTCCGATATGGCACGGCCTGATGAACTGTTAACCAAACCCCCCAAACATGACAACATCCTGGCTGATGCTCTCGCGGCTAAACATTTCTCTATTCTGAGTGCTGCTAATATGACTAAACGTTCCCGCCCGTCCTCGCAAGAAACAGCCTACACTGAAGACAGCGTTTCGCGGGAAGAAGGCTACGAAACTGATGATCATAAGTTCCGTAGAGTGAAGCACGTTACTAGCCATGAAAAGGAAGAGGGTAAAACTCACGAGACGTACACTCAGGCTAGCGCTCCCCCTCTTGAAAAAATACCTAACAATAAGCACAGTAATACTTCTCGGAAAAATAGTAGTAGAGACATTTTCTCTAAAACCCCGACGAAATCTTCCTCGAGTTCTCCGTCCAGCAGCGAAACCAAGAAAAAACGACGAAAATCTAGAAAAAGAGACAGTGTGAGACCTGTTCCTGATTCGTACATCAGTGAGCAGCTGCAGAAACTCAGGGATGATATTGTCGATTCCAGTTCTGAAATCCGACACCAGGTGTGCGATAACGGACAATTTGGGGCAGAAAACCCCAGCCTATTGCCGCTGCCGAGCTTAGTCCTTCCTAATACACGCGCTGAAAAAGACTTGGGGGATAATCAAAAATTTGAATCAACTGTGCGTGCAATTTACTGCGAAAAAGTTCGCGGGTTTGCCCTCGCCAAGGACTGGCAGAGGTATGCTGCAGAAGCAGGTCTTACTGTGGAAAGCGGCCACTGTGAACGCTTACACCCAAATTGGCCCTCAAGTCGCGCCAGCTTAGCAGCGAGGCTTCAGACCAGCTTCCGTACTTTCTCTGTTTTCTCGCAAGGTCTCCTAGCGGGAGTGAGCTTGGCGCACTGCGTCCTGGTAAGATTACAATGCTCCGACCGAAAACTACGGAACAAATGTTGTGTACGCTTGTTAAGTCTTTTATCTAATGTCATATGTCAACCAATTTAATCTTGATGTCATAAGTCATGCAGTTTAATCTTGATGTCATATGTCGACCAATTTAATCTTGATGTCATATGTCGACCAATTTAATCTTGATGTCATATGTCAACCAGTTTAATCTTGATGTCATATCTCAACCATTCATGAAAGAATTTATATTGCAATAAACATTATTTTTTTCAATTCTATATTAATCTACCGCCTCTGTTTTTACCGTGCATTCATGTTTTCTGACGTCTAAGTTGCATTTTTAATGCCATAAATGCAGGTTCATTAATAGTACAGGTATTCCTATGTATTGCAGGTATTCCTAATCGCTGAGTCATGGCAGGACGTTACGTCGGCATTACTACCTCGTCTCACGCACGTCTTTTATTCGCTCATCGTCTTCCTAACTCTCATTTGCTTCGTAGCTTCGTGTGACCGGTAAGCGTGTTACCTCTGCCCTCCACTGGCGTGTCATGAGATTTGTGTGGTGAAACTTTTCATAATATTTTTTATCTTTGTCTGCATTCGAGGTCGCTTTGTTGAATTGCCTTTATCCATAACTACCAGCCTTGTGAAGACGGTTAGTTATTATTTCGCTAAAGTATTCACCGTCGTGTTTACCTCAGAGGCGACCTGTGCAGCGGGTCCGGCAGCCTGATTAAGCAGCACGGCGTTCATGTGCCATGGAGCGCCGCCCTGTACCTCACATCGCTAAGTGTCACGCTGGCCACCACTCGGGCTTCAGCGCTGCTGGTTCACCGCCATGCCCCACTGCCCGACGTTCACCAGGCGGGGGGTGTAGGCTGGTACGGCTGGATGTGCCTCGCCCGCACCATAGCCAACATCCTGGCATGGCTGGCCGTGGTGCCAGATCCTCACTCCGACGCGCTCGCGGCCAAACTCAATCATTGCATCGGAGGTCGCGACGCGCCAGATCGCCACTCATAGTTGCGCATGTAATAAATTTTGCCGAATTTATTTCCATGGATTTATAAAACTGTGCATTCTATCATATTCCTTTCGAAATAATCGCACATACCTTGCCAATAAAACTAGAGACTTGGATCTAATTAAATTTATGTTATTTATTAGGTATTTTCCTGAACATCCGCGATGAGAAAAATCATAGCAAATCTCTTTATTTCGAATTATACCACCCTCGACTGAATATCTTGAAGCCAAATCGTCTTGTTTCTAAAAATTTTTTGTTCTCTTGGAAGCATATACGTAACTTCATTTTCAGTACTCAGGACACTTCTGCGTAAGTCGCCTGTGTTATTTTAAAAATTTATCCTCATATGCGCAAAAGCTTATTTGACCTCTCTGTTGTTGAATACTTCTAAGCCCTTTGTTATTTGCTTCTGCTCTTTATTTATTCAGCGATGTGTTTATTCTGTCTTGTTTATTTTTATTACACTTGGCAATAAAAAGTCCATCTATTATATGTTCTCTTCAATTACCTCCATCTGGCAATATTTCTAGCAAACACCTGTGAACTAACAGTGTAGAATAATTAAGATATTTAACTCTTTTATCACGAAATGATCTATTTTTATTGCATATTTCTACAACTTCAAGAAATTCTAACAACTTGATTGCATTAATCTTCAAAACTTTTTGATTTTGAAACTTTTGAAGGATCTCCTCGGGTCGTCCGTCTAAGATTAGCGATGCCTTTAAGTGAGTATATTAATTCTTTTGAATTCTGTTAGCAATTGTCCCTTACGGTGTGATTAATGGTGCTTTTATTTTCGGTTGAAGTCATTTTTTTATTTTTTTTCCTATTCCGTTCTTTGATAAGATTTTTGTATTATTCCAGTAATTAGCATACGAGTGTTATGAACGATCGCTAACTCGAGGAATTTATATTTTTCCAAGTAAAATTTTCTCTTCTGATATCTGTTGAGGCACGAAGATATGCTGCACAAAGACTTAACGACGATGACCCTCAAAGGCGAAAGTTTTGCGCAACTTTTGCAATGGCCGACCTTGCCTGAGGGACCAGCCGCTATTACACCTATCAAGCATTTGATCTTTAGAAAGTTGTTCAGTGTTCTTATAACATTTCTTAAGTGTTCTTCATCCTATTCTTAAGTGAGTGACAAGAGATAGTTACCGCAATAGTTACCGCCTGCGTAGTGCAGTTCCGATAACTCGTCAAGTTTTGATATGAGGAAAACCGATCATTGCAATCGTGCTTTTTTATATCTTGTATCGAAGTAATCTTTGCAAGGTTCTTCGAGCCGGAAAATTAACGTTTTTTTTATATATTTAGCTGGGCATCTTCAGCTCTTTTTTTAATAATGACAAAGGAAACCGGGAAAGAGCTGTGCAAAAAATCCTTTCAGAAGCATGCAAATACTTCTTCGTGAATTGATAGCACTAATTAGCTACGCTGGAAGTTCTTCAAAGCTTGAGTTGTTAGCTGAGCAACATATCAGCGTGCGGGAACTCTCCCTTCCAAACACTGAATGGTTAAAATTATTGTACAATTAATTATTTACTCTGCTTCGTGATATACTTGAATAATTTAAGTAAGATCCAAATTATGTTCGTTTACGTTGTCGTCTACGCTTTGCGTTGTCGTACACTTGATTGAGGCGTGAATAATTAAACACGACATAAGATTTAGATAATTATTTTGTCTAACCAAAGTTCGTTCAAAATGCTTTACAATCGATTTTAATGCATCAGTAGTCAAAATTTGTAAGGCTGACATCAGTGTGAGTAATACTATGAAAGAATTATTCCAAAATCATGACTTTACAGAATGTTATAATATAGAGTTCTTACTAACCTACAATATTCCCGATTTATTTAATCCATCGAGGTAAGTAAAATGTTCGACACCAATTTCGAAGCATTAAATCGCTCCAAACTCATTTCCTGACCAGATTTGTACAACTGTTTACAATAACACGCACTTGGGTCAACACCCTGGATCGTGTCGAGTCTACCTTCATATAATGGAATTTAGGTTCTGACTTGCATTCTAATGTTTAGATGTGGGCGTCCTCAACCTCCTGACTTTCCCTTTAAATCAAGGCGAAGGAGACCGTCAAGGCTGCAGCCTCCCACGCTACCTCAACTCTACAAATGTTGTTGCTAACATGAACGCGCACTTCAACTCGCTGCTCTCGTCCTAGCTATTAGATTGCGAATATTCCTCGAAGATTAACAGACAGCAAATGGGTAGATTATAATGCTTTGAAATTATTTCTGTTTGAACAGTGCGCTTAGAACTTGCGATTGTAGGGAAAATTGAGGAGACTGCATTGTTTCAAGGTGCTACAGAAGTGCTCGACTGCGTTGTAAGTTTCACCTTTTAATCCATTTTTCATAACGAAACTCGTATATTTGAGTCCTCGTTGTAGGATCCATGGTTGAACTATATATATTACTAGTTCAACCATGGTAGGATCAGCCTAGCGTGGCTCGAAACGGATGTCTGCAGCACTACCGTTCATCTTGGTCGCGGCGGAAAGCGCAATCTCAGCTTTGCATCTTTCGGGCTAAATATTCTACAGGACCAAATTTCGAAATATTTAGACAATCATTTGCTCCTCTTGGGGGGAACCTTAGGGAAAACGATTTTCTATCTTTCATAGAAGTGAATATTCCTCTTCTCTTTTTCAGTACCACATTTTTCTACCTAAAGGATATTTAGTGAAGGTAGCCACAGCATAGGCGTCACCTCGTGAATCCGCACGATCGCTTGCCAAGATCCTGTTAATTAATCTTTCTCGCGCACTAATCTGGCGTGTCTTCTGCTAGGCTTTAGTTACATTTATATTATCTCGTGCAGTCTTTTAAGAAGACTTTTCTTGATGCTTCATTTTACTCATTCACACGAAAATAAAACAAAATTAAATAAAATCTAAAAAAGGTCCTATGACCGCATCTTTCCTAAACTGACGATAGTTTGAAACGACTGCTAGACTTCCACCAGGTTCAATATGGTGCTAGGCATTTCAATTTTGAACATATATTTCTCCATAGCTTTATCTAGTCTGTTCTTGAACGCGTTTATATTCGGAGTGTCAACGATGCAATCGACGAGGCTGTTCCGCATGTCAGTGACTCGAAGCGAGAAGAAATGTTGTCGCGTGAATGAGTTGCAACGTAGTTTTTTTAGTTTATATCCGTGGCCCCTGTGAATATAAAAATCTTGGATATACGCGGAAATAAATCTTGGATATACGCTGGAACATCGTCTTTATACTCTTAACATCAAAAGTCATTTGCCATCAGAAACCCAATATCAAGAACTGCCCTCGCTCGTATCTGGAAATAGCTTTACCGTCACTTCAAGAAAAAGTATTCGACGCAGTGTCAGGCTGCTGCCGTCACTGATCTGCCGAATGCAGTTCAGGGCAATAGAGGGTCGATATTTCCCTCTGATACTGAGGGGAGACTTTATGTTTGCACGTGAAAAGTGCACATCAAAGTAATGCTTCTTGAAATATTACTTTTGACAAGTATTTCGGGATGGTGTGGAATATAGAGAAGAGGAATGTCAGTACGAATTTAACGTTTTTCCTGCACCGAGCAGTAATCGCGGCTCAGAATTCTAACAGTGTGACAATTTATTAATTTTTTTGTCGAATTGATCAAAAAAAAATTTTGCAAGAAGAAAATAACAAAACAAGTGAAACAAAATACATTATAATTGTAACTTCTCAGTCACTCGCTTAACATCGTATTATTTTAGCAGCCCCAATTACTGAACTGCTTCCAAGTTAATTACTGAATTTTACATTAAAAATAAATTTTGTATAGATGACAAACTTTGCAAAAATTCAAAGAAATCGGGTAGATTCCATCTGCTTAGGAGGTTTTTCAGCTATTTAGCTCGTCTCTATTTTGCTTGGAAATAGGCATTTAGATCCGTTCTCAGAAACACATGTCACCTCAAGCAAGTTAATTTCTCTCACTGAATTTGTTTATTGCGCAATAAGTGTGAGCTTTGGAGTGATTGCCGAGGTATCTGCCATGATATGGCACGTGTTTTTAATGTGCTACGTATTAATTGAGCCTGAGAGCGGTTGTGATCGCAAACATTTTCAACAACTTCATACAAGTGATTAAGTGACAACTTTCGACAGTAAATATTGTTTTCGTATCTTAAACTTGTGACGGCATGGTGTTAGAAATAGGATTTGTCCAAGATGAAGAACATAGCATGCGCATCGCAAATTTGGGAAGTCCGAAGAAGTTTCGCAGGGCGCTTCCTGGAAACGCGTAATGGATACGCTGAGTTGTTACGCGTAATTGATACGCTGGGCGGCTAAGCGTAATTGATAAATTGATACACTGGGCGGGTACAGGTAATTTAAACAATGAATGGACACCCGTAGTCGATACGCGTAATTGATACACTGAGTGAACTAATTGAGTATACGCTGGGTTTATAAACCGAGTTGATACGTTGAGTGGATACGCTTACTTTATACGCTGAGTTGATACGTTGAGTGGATACGCTTACTTTATACGCTGAGTTGATACGTTGAGTGGATGCGCTGAGTTGATGCGATGGATTTATACGCTGAGTTGATACGATGGATTTATACGCTGGGTTTATACGCTGAGTTCATACGCTGAGTGGATACGGTGAGTTTATACGCTGGGTTGATACGCTAAGTTGATGTAGCCGATTCTTGTACTTTTCGTGACATTTTCACAGATCTAAACATTGGCTTTTTAACAAGATCTTTTTATCTGACGTTGGTTTACGTCATTGCTGCACATTTACTGGTTCCGTACGGTGCAAGGCATTTCAAGACTGGATATATACCTTTGTATAGCATTGCATAGTCTGTTTTTGAACGCGTTCATACTCGGAGTGGCAACGATTCGGCGACTCGAAGCGAGAAGAAATGTTGTCGAGTGGATGAGTTGCAGCGCAGTTTTTTAGTTCATAGCTGTAACCCCTGGTGTTGGTTCATGTTTCAAATTCTAGTAATCCTTCTGGGACCTTGTATAAGCCATGAGTATATTCGTGTATACTGCAATGAGGTCACCACGCAGACGTCGATAACTGAGGCTTGAAAGCTTCATAAACTTTAATCTTTCTCCATAAAACTTGCCCTCCAAGCTTGGAATTATCCTTGTTACACGTCTTTGAACACCCGTCAACTAAATTGTTATCCTTTTCTAGTTTTGGTGACCACACGACGTTTCCAAACTCTATGTTCGGATGCACGACAGCGACAAACACAGCGTCATCGCTTCTGCATCTAGGAACTCGAAAGAGCGTCTGATCAGTCCAAGTCGTTGATTGGCTTTGTTAACTTGAGCTTCAATATGCTTAGAAAATTTTACCTCATTGTCGACATTAACTCATAAATCTTTTTCCATTGTCGACTTCGACATCATCACTCTGTCGTTGCAACCGTGTCTTCTCATGCTGTAATCTTGTTGTTCA